CCTGAAAAAATAAAGGACTTACTGTGAATTTACGGTATCAGAGTAAGTGAATTGCCTTTATAATCAGTTATGTTCACAAACACAGCTGCTGTTTCTCATTCAGCTGGTTCTGTATTGCATGTTAGATGATGGGGATTCATCTATCTTTGGCTATCGAATGAACTTTTTAAATGTAGTACTCTGTTCCAATTGACTCTGGATTATGCTACAACAAGTCCTGTACCTTTCCATCACACTTCCTGTGGACTGTTAGCATTTTCAATTTTGCCAGACTGCTTTCCACCCTCTAAACTACCTTGAAGTTAGACCATGCCACTTAGCAAGCAAAGCTAAAGTCATAAGTCTGTGTGTGTGTGATATTATTAGAGTGCTCTTCTGAACAAGGCCACGATCTCAATATACTAGTTAGAATAAGCTTTATCATCAGACAATTCATTCTGTTTAATGAAAAACCCCCGATTCATATGATTGATTCAGAGGTTTCTGTTAGAACTGAAACATGACTCTGGAAATGTATTTTTCATAGAGTTCCACACTGAAGTTTCTTTTTGTGTGTGTGTTGTTCTGTGTGTGTGGTGTTTATTCCTCGCTCAGCATTGTGCACTGTAAGTACTTGCTTCAATGGAGGGAAATGCTCTGAAGAAGGATCCCAGATGTGCCAATGTCCAGAGGGTTTTCAGGGTCCTCGCTGCCAGTATGGTGAGTCCCATTTGGCTCATGTGCAGTGTACACATGATCAACTGTATTATCTTTTTTAGGTGTTCAGATGCATGAATTAATCTCACATTTGTTAGGCGTGGATTCCAACGTGTTCTGGTTTTCAAATGGTTATGGCATAGCTTCATCTATATTCATTAAAAAAAATGCTGGCTTGATTGGTGGCTTGATTCCATCAGTTTGGGTGGAATATCAACCTTATCTTAATTCACTGCTAAGAGTACAGTAGAACTCTTTCCAGTGCTCACTTAATATATTGGATCTTTCTCAGCAGCATTCTACATCAATGTGCCTCTCCTCTGTTGTTTTATCCTTGCAAATAATGTGCACCCAAACTCAGTGGAGTTTGGAGTAAGTAATTAATGCCACAGATATTTCATAATGGGCTGTTGTCATTATGCATCTGACAGAGGGAAAGCTGCTTTTTGGTGGGTTGGGGGGGTTGTGCAAAATATACTAGGGAACTTAGTATTCTATGGAATGTTGCAATTAATGCTAAAGTTAACAAAATAAAGGGCTCGAGTTGTGCAATGTATAGTGTCTCTGACTTCACTGTGGTATTTTTCCTTTTATTTGTTACTTTACAATCTAATAATCTTCACTGAGTTTTTTTTAATAGCTAGGAATATGAATTAGCATTCTGCTTTAGCTCTCACTATGTAAATGTCTGCAGAATTATGGAAATGATGTATTGTTGCTAAGTTTTCTTTAAGTCAGTCTCTTAGTAAGACTGAGTTAGACAAAGGATTGTGTAAATACTATAATAATGGTTTCTGCTATATTTCAATCATTTAGGATTTAATCACATTGTGGTTCTACGGTAATAAAGCCTGAAACTTTAGACTGGTCTTTTTCTAGCCATGTGAAAGACAATAAGTTTTGATGGTCCTTTTTCACTAACAGATTTGGATAGGTGGCAGATAGAAGAAGAATTCCGCTCTAGTTATGTTGAGGTAGGTTTGCATTATCTCGGTGTAATTGTAGAAAAGCTAGTCCAAAGTCTTATGACCTCTCTGCATTCAGTAAACAATTTTTATATTGGTTTCTGGTATCCAGATTGTAGCCATATTGGAGGAGAAGGCAATTGAGACTACCTTTTATTAGGCCAACAAGATATATTGGTTTCTCACACTTTGGTGCACTTCTCCACTATCTTCTGAAGGTATCCTTAAGTGGTGGTTCAAGTTATTGCCATGCAGTATTATTACAACAGTTTGAGGCATGAGGGTGCAGTTATTCTTAGCTGGCTACAAGGTATCCTCCTATACGCCACCCGAAAATATTTAAGTGCAAGTGAAGGAGAATTTAACGATCCTGTCACATTCCAACAGGGCTTCATTTAAATGCAGCAGACTCAAAGCTAAGTTCCCAACTTGATCTGACTTGAGTCACCTTTGCTTCATAACTTTTGTTAGACTCCAACTTTTATTTTGGCTGCAGTGGAGCTCATGTTACAGACTCAGCCTGGCGCAGTCTCATTATACTAGTGTGAATTTCATTCTAACCAAAGAGTAGCAGTTATTTTAAGTGAAGGTAATGGGGCAATATGAGCAGTAAGTCAAATTCAACATTACTGAGAGAGGAATGCAAGTGTTTTCCTAATGCAGGGACAGAAATTGCTTTTCCCCATTAAAACCCGGTCATATAGAGTCTTGTTACAAATGTTAAAAGTATCTAAAAATGGAGCATTTCAATAATGTACAAACAACTCATAATGTGTCTGCTGATAGCAAACTTTCAGAATAGGGGGTCAAATTCTACTTTCAAATCTTGCCTATGTTAAAATAATATGCATGGCTGTTTTTAATACAGTTAATTCATACCTATGCTATGCCTTGCATAGAAGGGACTGGGTAGGGAAGAAAGATGGAGGTGTAGCTTTCGATGTGAAGGAGCAGTAGACCTCCTTGGAGGCTGACACTGGCTCCAAAGAAGAATGGCTTGAAACCCTCTGGGTCAAGCTGAAGGCAAGGGTGTGGTGAGAGAGACCTAACTGTAGGTGTATACTACAGACCACCAAACTAGAGGGAGAAACTCCATCTAGAGTTTGCCGGAGAACTGATGGAGGCCTCATGTGCGTGGGACATGGTCATCATGGGTGACTTCAACTATCCAGACATCTCTTGGGAGGAGCACTCGGCCAAGTCGGATTGGTTGTGTTCCTTCCTGACCTGCATCAAAGAGCTCTTCCTGGCTCAGGAGGTTCATGGGCCAACCAGAGGTAACACTCTCCTAGACTTGATTCTGGCCTAAGGAGACTACCTGGTGACCAACTTAAATGTAGAGGGTAGCCTGGGCAATGGCAACCGTGAAACCATTAGGTTCACTGTCCATCACAGGACAGACAAAGTAGATAGCAGGGTTGAAGTTTTGGACTTCAGAAATGCAAATTTCAACAAACTCGGGTCACTAGTAGGGGTAGCGCTGTGGGACCAGGGACCGAAGGTGAAAAGAGTGCATGAAGAGTGGTCATCCCTTAAGGACACTATCCTTGAAGCACAAAGGAAGTCCATTCCCATGCAGAGGAAAGGTACCAGAAGGGCTGGAAAGCCCTTTTGGCTAAACAGGGAAATCCATGGTCCCCCTAAGAAAGAGGCATGCAAACAATGTAAGCTTGGGACAGGCTCCAAAGAAGACTATACAACAATGCCCTGCCCTTGTAGGGAACAGATTAGAAAGGCTAAGGTGGCAACTGAACTTAAATTGGCAACAGGAATCAAGGACAACATGAAGTCCTTTTTAAAATATGTAGGAAACAGGAGGAACACAAATGGGAGTGTAGGGTCACTGCTTGACTCAGGACAGCTGGTTCCCGGCACTTGGGAGAAAATTGAAGTCCTGAATGACTACTTTGCTTTGGTATTTTATCTGGCTAAGGGAAAAATCATGCCAGTTGGGGCACAGAGTGAGCAGGGCAGGAATGACCGTCTTCCCACTATTGCCATAGAATTTGTGTGACCAATTAAAAACTAGACATTTGTAAGTCAGCAGGACCTAATGAACTCCATCTGAGCACGCTGAAGGAGCTGGCTGAAGTCATCGCAGAACCCCTGATGAAACTTCCAAAACTCATGGCGCTTCAGGGAGGTCCCTGAGGTTTGGAAGAGGGCCAATGTTGTGCCCATCTTCAAGAAGGGGAGGAGGGAGGGCCCAGGTAACTATAGGTCAATCAGCCTAACTTCTATCCCAGGGAAAATCCTGGAAAAAGTCATTAAGGAGTCTATGTGTGATACACTTGCAGAAGGTAGGATTCTGAATGACAGCCAGCATGGCTTCTCATCACGGGCAGGTATTGTCTTCCTTAATCGTAAAAGGAGACGAGGTTAGTAACTCATAACCTGGATAAGAGAGAGGAGGTTGACATTGTATACCTTGACTTCCAAAAAGCCTTTGATCTGGTATCCTACAATGTTCTCATGAGAAAATTGGAGGATTGTGGGCTTAACTGCAAGACAGTTAGGTGAGTGCAAAGCTGGCTGTGGGGTAGAATCCAGAGAGTCCTAATGAACAGATCTGTGTCATTCTGGATGCATGATAACCCAATACATGTTCAGGCTGTTTCTCTTAGAGTAAAAATAGCCACTCCCGGAGAAAAATAACCTGGGAACAACCAGGATTAAATTGCTCCCAGGAGAATTTCTTCTGGGACAGTGGATGTCTGTACATGCCATGGCTTCTCTTAGAAGAGAACATAATCCTTAAGCTTCTCCTCCTGCCCCCTGCAGGGAAACAGTATGTCACTCACTGGACTCTGCCACTCCAGAATTACCTTTGCAATCCACGTATTGTGCTGCAGAGAAATGCAGGCTGACCATAGGCAGTCTGGGTCAGCCAATCAGGGTGGCCCTATGCACTGCTGCTATCTGTCACCAGCCAGACTAAGGAAGCCTGCAGAGCACACAGAGATGTGTGCACAGGGTCCTTTTCCCTGGCTGCAATATCAGCACGGCAAAGTCTCCACTTTTGGGGCTTTAGCATTCAAATGTCTGTACATGTGGCTGTGGGCAAGTACTCTCCAGGTAGAGAAAAAGCTGGGAGAATTCTCCCAAGTTATTTTTATGTGTGTACACAGCCATACATGTCAGAAATCTGAACTAGATTTCAAAGCTCCAGCTCTAAAAGTATTGATTACCTTGAAATGCTTAAAGCATTAAGCCATTCCCTAGAGTAGAGAAGGCATGCAGTATTCTAAATGGGGAAATCATGGGTACAAAGTGTGGAGGGACAAGGTCAGATTCGGAGACCAAAATGAGATTGTGCAGCTGCCATTTCGCAGGGAAATGACTGGAGACATTGTGAAAACAATACAAGTTATTCTGCAATTTCCGCTGTCTACAGTTGGGTAGAGTTTTATCTTGGTGGTTTGTCTGCTTTCTATTGATTCCTTTGGGTTTGAATGGAATTTCAGTAGTCATCACTTCTTCAGTGTTATACAATAGCTGCTATCTGTAGTCTGGCAGGATTTCATTTATAAATTAAATACTAGGTGGGTAAAAACCTCCATTCAAAAAAAAAAAAAAGTTTTGGTCAATTCATCTGTCTAATTGAAGCTGGGGTCATTTTAAAGTAAAAGGCCTTGTTAAACACTGCAGGCATCTCTCGGTTGCTGTACTGGTGAGGTTTGTGTCAGATTTGCTGCAGACAAAATAAAGTGCATTTTATTATGAAATTAACAGTCTTAGTTTCTCTTTTTGCAGCTGACATTAGAACTCTGCCACCTGAAAGTAGTTTGAATTTACTGTGAGTTAATTATTTAATAGCAATGTATTGTGGCTTTCAAATTGCCATTAAACCCATTCCATGCACTGCCTGACCCCAAATAAAATTGTTTTCATTCCTATCCCTTCTGCCTTAGTTTCAAGTATCT